ATAGATACCATTTCCCGATCACTAATTCGCTTTTTTAAGCAAAATTTGTTGAAGATTATTATTGCTTCAAGAGGTAAAAAACAGTTTCGCCAAAAGACAATTCACCATGATGAAATGTCAGTGTCATTTCGCCAAAAATTTGTACGCTTTAGCCAATTGGCGAAATGTCGGATGACTTTTCGGCACGATGAATTGTCTTTTGGCGAAACGTCAGAGATTCCTATAGCATATATCAAAATCCTTAGCCAAAATTGCCATGCTATACTTCGACCTCAGTGTTTCGTTAGATTCAGCCAGTTTTTGCTCAGAAAAATCTACTAATCGCACATCATTCGTTGTAGTCTCTTGCACTAATTCATATGCATGTTTATGCATTCATCACAGATGCAAGACATATAGGAGAACATTCTGTAAGTTTGGACGAGTCTTGAATTGGGCTGAGGAGGGTGCACTCATTTTATCGAAAATAGCCGTTTGGAAAACCACTTACGAAAGACTTTCATTTTTTTATCAACAAACTCCATCCCAAATTACGAATTTTTGATACTTACATATACTAAACGATGCGGAGATTCAGACTTTACAATGAATTTGCTTACCAGGTTGTTCATTTCTCTACAAAAATTGATTTTTTGTCGATGACGTGCTTTTCAGGCTAATTTTGGAATCGCTGATTTTCCCGTCCCACATAATTTTTGCACCAAAACTTTTTGTGCCAATTTTTGTGAGCGAGCGACATTACTGCAAACAGGACCCAAATCTTCCCCGAATTTTTCGTAGTACAGATTTGGATACTTTTGGCAGTGTGTCGCGGGCAGTGTGAGAGTGAGTTTGAAAAGTAGTTTCATCATGCGAAACTGTACATCTGTAACTGGATCACATAATGGCTATTCACCGCATAACTTCATTCAGGTTTCATGTCGTTCGGGGCAATGTTGGTCGCTCAAACGTCAGTTAATCTCCTTAACAATAGTTGCGGACCAAAATTACAAATTTGCTGAACATCACATTTTGAAATGAAAAAATTTATTATCCTTTAGATGTTCTCGCGCTAAACACAAGGATTTCTCTCTAGGATCGAAGTTTCTAGAGACTTTCGAAAATTATTAGCAGAAGGTCGTAGTGTGACTCTGTCCTTTATTACAGATACTTAAATAAATGGACGAAGCACTATATCGATAAAACTGTTGTCATCATATTTGATCAAATCATATATGTTGTAAAAACTTGATCCATACATTTAGCACCAGAAAAATATTTTTTATTCATTTTATAATAATCGATTGCTGGTCTAAGTAATTTTGGTACTGTTTTTATAATATGACTCGAATTCATATGATGTATTTTATCAAAGTAAAATGTGTTACCCCAACCAGACCAATGTGCAAGTTGAGCATTTTCAATTATAGAACACGCTTTATCTAACAATTCTATAGGATAATTTTCCAATAAATTTATATCAGACAGAAAATAATGTTGATAATAACGAATTTTTAATACACCACATGTATATTTAATCCATATTTGTCCTAATTTAAGTGATATTGTGTTTTCATCATCGGCATTATCGATAAATGTATTTATGTTATTCTCTTCACACATCCATAATACAGTTGTTTTTATGAAATAGGATGGTAAATATTAATTATTAATTGAAAGATTTTTATGTAAGTATTTGTAAAATAAACCACGAGCAACATTATTTAACGCTTGTTCATATTTTGTACGTGCTTTGGCTATTTCAATTTCATAGACTGAAAATAACATCGTCTAAAAACTACGTCATGATAATATTCCCCTTAAAAATTCAGAAAAGCATTAAGTCATATTTTAGAAGAATAACCAGCCTAAGAACTACCATCATGATGACATGCCGACACTATACTTCTTGGTTTTCGAGTAGTTCGATACTTTCGCAGTAACCGTGTGTCAATGTTCATACACAGTACGTTTGAAGAATGTCACCGTCAAATTGTACTTTGAAGAAAAACATGACCAAAACTTATGGTTCTGTAGATAAAAGAATATTTCTTCAATAACTCTTTGTGTTACTTTTAGTTGATTCAGTATCATTTATGAACTTTATAAACTGACTTTTGAAACAATCTAGACGAAAAACATTTTTCTATAAAACTATCAAACAAAAAAAGTTATTTGATGAAATCTTACGCAAAGATGTTGACTATGATGAATGTTTTAATAAAAAAGTGCTCATTCATCTGAGAAGGATTAAATTATTAGATGTCACACTTTAGGAAAGCTTAATTTTGTCATACTACGGAGTTAGTAACATGATGCATCCAAATCAGTTTTTGGTAAAAACTGTCAGACCGTACTCCATTAGAACTGCTTGTAATCAAACAAATGTTTGTTTTAAGTGTTGAAATCGTATAACAAGTATCCATCTAAAGCATATTTTCTTCTTCTTGAACATTCTATTTATCAAGGTGCAGTGTTTTATTGTTTTATTTTAACAATTTTAAAATCAATTTTTTTCTACTGATTATCATGCCTGATTGATCATGCTGAGATTTTTCTCCGAGTCTTCATCGTTCACTATGTATAGCCAACTTTCATGGGATATTAGTGTAGTGGGGCGTGTCAATTACAAAAGATGTGACCATCCGCCAAGTTTTGCCGGAAATTGCCGCCGAGTTACCTCTACAAAATGCACTACTCGAAAGTTTTCCAGCAGGGGGATACCCAAACGGTCTCGCATTCAAATTTTCATTCTAATTTTACGATCATTTTTTATGTTTTCTTGTCCAATTTTCACTATTTTTCCTACTAAACGAAAAATTATATATTTTTTTATAAGATACTGTTCGATAGCCCTTTAAATTCTCTACAAACTGAGTTAGTCAGAATATCTTGATTAGTTGGCCAGTTATCACAGACATGTAATAATGTGGGCGTCATTAGGACAAGTGTTATTTAGTTCGGTTCCACTGAACTCCGTGCTCGGACCTGTTTTCTTTCTGATATACATAAATTATCTTCTGAACAATTTAGATAATATTTGCTTTTTATTCGTCAATGATGTCTCTGTGTATGTGATCAAAAAATACTTGAAGTGATTAAGATAAAATAAACAAAATGGTCCGATGAACAGCTACAACGTTTTATTTGGCTCTTTTCCTTGATATATATTTTGTTTTATAGGTTTTCAGCAGAATATTGCACCTAGAGCGCGAGTATTTAAAGGCTATTTGGGATCAGCTGGTGCGCAAGTAATGGCAAAATTTCCATTTGATATACATCCATCGAAAATTTGGTCCGTGGTTGCAATGGTAGAACATATGGATAACCGTTTTATCCATACTGGTCATACAGCAGCTCCTGGCTATTTATTTGATTGGTATATACATCCAGAACAGTGGCGGATCCAGCATTATTCTTTGATGCGTACGGTATATGTGCGATCGTCATAGAAATAAATTATTTCAAGAGAGTTCTGCTGGGAAAAAACAGTTTTGGGATTAAAAAGTACGAGCGACCGCTCGTGGGCTGGATCAGCCATTGCACAAGAAGGGAAATAAGTCGGAGTTGAGTGAGAAGAAACGTGACAATTTGAAAAGTCATCTGAGGTAGTTGACGTCACAATTATTTTGTAATGATTGATCATTACAACTGGTTGCTTATCAATAACAAAAGCGACTGACCATGGTTCAATTTTTACTTTTGATCCAAAGCAAGCGTTTTTTTCTAATTAACTCCCATTACAAGTATTTCAGTGCTGTCAGAAAATGTTTGTACCTGTACAGAATTTACAGTTTTGCCTTACTATCTTGCCATATCAAGCTCGTTTTTAAGTTCGTATTGCTTGAGATTGTTCGGCTATTTATTGATGAATATTGAAAATACGATATGATCCATTGCCATCACCGTCACTAAATTCATTTCATTTCAATAAGTTTGTAATAAAATTTGTAAATATTGAACTATTGATCTATTAACAAAAATGTCTTCATATGCTTTGTTGACGTTGGTTTACACGTCATCACCGTATTCGTATTTGTTTTTCTCATTGGGTATTATGACTATCACAACTTCGAGTACTGCTATGTAAAATGGTAGATTGATTAATAATACAACAAATTCTCTGTGATCATCATAAAATTGTATTTTAGCATCTATATCTGAAATTGTATCTTTAATTATACATCATTATTATCGACGTAATTATTGAGAAAATTAAAAATTATCTTGCGTCGTACGACAATAATAAGATCGAAAGAGCAGTATATTTCTGGCGATATGATTTCTACCTTCATATCTATGAAAAAAATGTTCAATTTAATGTTAATGGGAAATGTCTTTTGATAGTCAAAGAGTCCATTATTCAGAGAAAAATATGACCTCACATAAGTTCTATTTAATTTTTTCATGCATTTTTCTAATGACAAGATTATAAAGGTCGTTTATTAGTAGTGGAAGAGATAGGACGTTATCTTATTTTAATAACGCGTCCTATCATTTAAAACGTATAGAAAAAGATTTCATTCGAGCAATGCTTTCTTTTCTCTCTCTCTCTCTTTCTCTTTTTATTATTATTATGCGTTGTTTAATCTATGTGAAGGAGATAAATTTCGAAGTTCCTGAAGCGATTATTGATGATGCTGATATTGGTAAAATTATTAGTGGTATTTACATTACACTTTACTTTAGTTAACGCTGAAATTTGTTCGGATATTCTGCTAATGATCTCCGATACATCTCTGATGTTGTCAATGTCAAATCCCCAAGAACAACCTCATGTTATTTATCAAGTAATCGAGTTTATTAATTAGAAAATAAACTGCATTCTCTCGATAGAACAACATGATCTATGCGTTATCTCTTTTTTTGTAAAATTTTAATCGTAATATATTTTCTATCACTATAGGTTGTAACATCAGATAATTCCCGTTTTATTCCTCAAATAATTGAAGCTATTTATGGATTAAAATCAAGGAGTATTGTGTTGTTATTAGCTGATCGTTCTGAAATGAATGCAATAACTACCATTACAAATTATCGTTTAGTACAATTAAAAATAAATAAAAATATGTTGGATTGGTCGACTGTTTATACAGATTCACTTGTATGTGATGGTAAATGTACCTTAGGAAGTGGACAGAAATTTATTTATCTCATTAATCAAGATTTATCGTTTCGAAAATATGATTATAAAACACTCTATTCACCCGATCATTCTGAACAATTCCATTTTAGAGATAGTTCAATGAATATAACAACATTCGCGAACTCAAGAATATTTGAAATTGTTATTGATGAAACGATTAATTTAATGTGGATTTTATCTGGTTCAAAAAGAACTCGTTTGTTTGCCTGTCATTTAAAGAATCTTGAATGTAAAGAAGCATTGATTGGAAAAGATCAATCTAATTTTATTCGACTCGAAATTGATTGGCCTCACAAAGTGTTGTATACGTATGATAGTACTTTAAATGAAATTTGGGCTATTAAGTATAAACACCCATCTATGCTATTTGAGCAAGTACCCAGTAGACAAACTGATCAAAATTTCGAATATAATAAATTATTTTTACTTTCATGCTTAACATTTGAACAATTAATGGTTATAATATTGAACGATAAACAAATGTGTCGTACTATTGAACAAAATCGAACATTATGTCAAAAATATCACCTAGAATCATCCAATACCACCAGTATACACACTATTCGAAGTATATCAAATTCAGTACATCTACTACGCTGTCAGGTACAAAAGAAGATAATAATGAAGATTCTTTTAATACTTTTTGGTGTCCAGGGTGTGCTTCTATTAATAATGTTAATCTATTTTTATCGACAATATTCTAAATGTGACAGAGAAAAACCTTCATTAGCTTCGACACGACGAAACAGTTCAATAATTACCAATGGTATATACACCATTGGTGAAGGGGAATATCCCCATACTAACCCTTCTTTTAATTGGCTGATAACCTACTTTTAATAGTAATGACTATTAGTCATAACTATTAAAAGTAGTATCAGTAAGTAGTATCAGATTAAATCTAATAACCAGTAGGGGAAAAAAATTGAATGTTCCAATTTGAAATGAATCAAGAAAGATGACTAAAAATTTTGTAGTCAAATTGTGTTCAACATAAATCAATGCTTCTATCCAATGTTTCACTCTTACATGCAATAGCACAATGGCTTCTAGTTCTTTTTCATTTTTTTCCTAGTTTATTGGTGGACTCGTGCTTTAAATATGAATTTTTCTGCTAAAGAATTCACGAATACACATTCAGAAATCGAATTCAAACAAATTTTTTAGATAAGTATGAATCATTAGCTGCCTTATGCACATTTTAAATTTTTTCAACTTAATCTGCATCAATTAGAACACTCATGTCAGTGCACTACTATTTTTTACCAATCGCTGTTTCAATCAAATTTACACCAAACATATACTCTTGTTTTTCTATTATAAAAATAAAACCAAACAGAAAAATGAATCTGAAAACTGAAATTAACATGTGTAAAACAGAAAAAATTAAAAAATAGTCTGACTATGAGATAAAGAAAGAACAACAAACCACCGACAGTATTGAGTGTTTTCACTTATTTAACCGATTTATAATCAACATAAAGACAGTCAAAACAACGAGATCAATGGACAGTCATCAATGGAAATAACATCACTGGTCACAACTAAAATGATAAATAATAGCAGATACTATTCATGTTATATAAATAAAAATGAAACAAAAAAAACTCAAACTTAATCAGTACTTATAATAAATAAAGTAAACTCAAGTAAACTGATACAATCTATTATTAAGTTAGAGCAGAAAAATATCCCCAATTATTATGATTTCAATAGATTTCATTTTTAATCACAATTAAAATTCTTCAAGCTAATTAGAGTTTTAACACTGAAAAACACTTGCTCAAAAGACTAAAATGTATAGCATATTTATAATAAAAAATACAGCACATAAATCTTAATCAAATAACAAGAGCTCATTATCAATATTAGCAAGATTTATTTGTTCATTTACCAAGTTTGTAAAAATAATATATCTTTCATAAACTGTCGAAACGAATGAAATTGAAATTTAGCTATGTATTAGTAGTGAGATAAAAATAATGTTTCAGAATTCTATTTATTATGATTAGTATTAATAACTTACGTGGTAATGATACAAGTGGACCAATATGATCTAATTTATCCTGTAATTCATTTAGTAATGGTAAAAAATCAAATACCTAAAGAGAAATAGTTTGATAAAGAAGAATATTGGAATATTGGAATATTAGAAAACTACTTCTGATAAATTGTGAAAAAGATTTTTCGATTCATGATCTGTTCTAGTTGTACACATTTGAACAAATAATGTGTATAAATAACAATATTGTACAATTCGAACCGTGTCTTGATCATACAGACTTTTATCTATAAAGATATTGATTATTATTCTATAAAATAGTAAAAAATAAGATTATATAAACTACATACCATTAGTGCAAATCACAACAGGAAATATCAACGCTAAAAATCGAATAAGAATCAGTCAAACGTTAAATGAGAACAATTATCATTATACCATGTTCTTCTTGTGTTAAGTTTAGATGGTTGAACTTTTCTGCAAATTCAAACATTGTTTTTACCATTTCTTCGCCAATAATTTGAATCATCCATGCTCGTGTATATTGTAAACCGTTAGGTAACATCATATACGATTCGTTATTTCGAATTAATGGGGCGTGTTTTATCTAATAAAAGGATAATAATAGTAAACTCAGACAAATACACTACAATGGATCAAAAAATGATTACTAAAGATTGAAAAAAATGTGATTCTATGTAAATCATCAACATAAGAAACAAGAAGTTTACTGCAAAACTAAGTTAATGTCTTCAAATCTTTATTCGTACAAAATTGATTTTGTGTTTTTCGATAGTTTTAGTTTAGAATACTATAATGGAATATTTTTTCGCTTGTATTCTGATAAAATAAAGCTTATATTAAGAAACAAGAATTATTTACAGTTACTATACTATAACAGATAGACATACCAGCCAAAAGTCAAATAAACGATTATTCATTATTCTATGAAAATCTTGTGAACACAAGTCCGTTACACCTGGCATCTTAAAAAACATCAGCTAGTTTACATATTTGCTTCAATTGTGGAATAGACATATTTTACCTCTTTAGCAAAGGCGATCAAATTCTTAACATGATACGGTATGGCATCTGAAAAAAACAAACTAATTGACGAACATCTCTCTATACACAATTGTTTTTTCTTTACTATCACACCTGTGAGGCCAGCCCAAATCTCTACAATCGACGAATTATTACCAGGATATTCTTGTATCTGAAACAAAACAAAATTATAACAGTTGAATGTTGATGTACTATATCGTGCAATCAATATGCATGTAAAAGATTAAAATATTTGTCAACATCAACTGTGTTTCTTTTAGGTAGTTTTTTTTAGCAAGTTAGGGTACATACCCCAAGATTAATTAGTCCAACCATTCTTTCAATTAGCTGCTTTGTTCTTACATTATATGATGAACATAAGTCAAACATTTTCCATCTTAAATAACGTATAAATGTTGATTCTTCATAATTCAATTCTGTAAATAACTCTGGTTTTAATAGTTTCGATACAATAGTTTTCATTCGTTCGGGAACATTTGTTGAAAAATGTTCATCACAATTTGTCATATAGTTTGTTAATGCCGATGTATTTAATTTAACAATTCGTTGAACATAATTAATTTGATGATTCATTTCAATTTTATTCTTTTCATTAATACAAAAATTATCTGATAAAAATGTTTCACTGGTCATGTGAGATGATGTTGATTCAAATAAATTTGAGTATGCGTTACTCGATTGAAATGTCGGTTCAAATTGATAAGAGTGTAGCATAGTGTCCGTTGATAATTGAACGTCAGAAGCGGTATTTTGGCATTGGTCATATACTGTCCCAGATAATGATTCATGTGCGTTTATTAATGATTGATTGAATAAACTGTCGTCTAAAGAAAATGATGTAAAAGTAAAATGAAAATGAATATAGAGAATTGAACGCTTAACCTCCAATAACTGATTGTGCAAGTCGAACTTGAAACCAATATACTTTTGTCTAGGCTTGACGAAACATGTTTTCTCATGTACAGTCGTTAGCTTATGGTGGTAACTTAGATTAGGAAAAAAACTTTCATTTTTTTAATCAGAGGTATTATATAGCGATCCTATGATATCCACTAATGTCCATATCTGTGGCACATTGAGATGAAAAGAGTTCATCTTTTTATCTATAGCATCCAGTTGTTCAAAACGCTATAGGACAGCGTATTAACGATATAATATGCAATATGTTTTAGCAGACAACGTTTTAAGCGTTTCTTCTCTTTTATTTAATACTTTTTTTATACCTTCTGATTTATTGGTCTGCTTAGGATCATTATTTTTCGCATTTTTTCCATTTAAAGAGTACTGTTGTTGTCGCTGCTGTTGATGATGTTCTTCTATGGCTTTTTCTCTCACGATCTTAGGGATACGTCCCATTTTAACACCTTACAAAAAAAACAGAATAGTAATGAAATTTGGCGAACATCATAAAAACGGACTAATACTTTCGTTAGACATTCCTTCAATTAGACATTTATAAAATCTGCATGATTTACATCGATTTCTATTTTTAATGTTTATACTACAAGTATCACCAAAATAACAGCGATATTTTTCTTTACGTAATATACTCCGTTTAAAAAAACCCTAAACAAAAAACAATTGTAATTCTATTCAACAATTTGTAAAACTTACTTTACATCCTTCACATGTTGGAACTCCATAGTGAACACCCGTTGCTCTGTCTAGACAAACACGGCTAAAAGACGTCATTCAAAATACGAGTTTTCAAAAATACTGATGATGCTGAATAAAACATACCAACATCCAAATGGAAATGGTATTTTTCGTGGTTTTTTTTGTTCTTTTTCGTGACTAACATCTTCCATTAGGTTATTTATATTGTTAGTCAGACGCAAATTTTTATTCACTCTAATCAAACGAAATATTTTTGATCATCTAATTGAAGTTTCTGTCATCGGCTAAAACAAATGTATACCTTTCTATAAGATTTAAGGACTTTCCGGTAAAGTCAATGAGATAAACTGTAAAATATAGCCTCATCATTCAAATTGTGATTAATGATTAGATATGTGACGATTACTGACTGTGAGTGAGAGGGAGGGGAGGGGCTTGATGGTACATCACTAAAAAAAGACTATGGATTCCTCAATATAAATCTGAGCTCTCCCTTTCTTCGGAGTTCATAGAAGAAATTTACAAAACTTACCGTTAAGAGTATGTAATGATTTTCTCGAGTCTCATGGCTATGTATACTGCAAGCAAATTGTTTTACTTCAGTTTATTTGAGGTAGAAGAGTACGACACTAATATTTGAAATATAGGGAAAGCTCTACTGAGAACGATAGAAAAAAGCCTTTTATTCTTCAGAAATATAAAATTTCGATTGAATAAACCATAGATTTTGCAGTTATAACTTTCTTTTAGAAGTACAGAAAAGTGTTTTTACAACCTTTTGATGTTCTCAAAGACTTTCTTGTTTCACCATTAGAAGAATTTCTAATTTTGATATTTATTGAACTAGCAATATCTCATCGTGTCAATTAAAAAAAAAAGTGCAATATTTTTCGTTTAACAAACGTAAATATCACTAACATTCGAAGATAAATTACAAGGACATGACTCATTCCATAAAAAATGGTGCTAGTGACAAGATACTGATACAACGATTTGCTCACCTCTCTGAATATTCACTCAACTAGTTAAAATGAAAATAAGGACAAAACAAATGAGAATATCGCAAGTACAAACACAATAATTATTAACAGCAGCCACCGATTATCATACACTTCATTATTAGTTGTCAGATAACAATGTTATTATGATGGAGTATAGTTAAAAAAGTAAGTGTCTATTTACTACTTACAGAAAGAAAAAAGAAAAAAATGCATGTCATTTTTCTTGTTTTTTTCGATATGTATTTAGTCAAATACTTGTTCTGTTTCTTATTTTATTTCTGACCTGTTACCCTGATCTAGGTCATTTTATTCTGTTCTATTCTTTTTACAGAATTTAAGCGAGTTAGTTCAAAAGTAATTTTTCCGCCAAGACACTTGTTTATATTCTCACCATTTCAGACCGATTATTATGAGCTCATTTTTACGTTTCCTTTCTAATTACTAGAATGAAGGAAACTTTAATGTGTTCATTACTAGTCCTTCTACTTTTAAAAATAAGGAGATAAAATATTTAAAATTTTTTTTGATAATCTGCAGAAAATAGAATCATAACTTCTTACAATAATGATGCTGAAAAGACATGTTGTTCTAATAGTTCAACGGTGCACAAAATATTTGACTAGTTAGTTCATAACAGAAAACTATTTAAGAGAAAAAAATTACAATAAAATAATAGTTGTTCATAATTACAATTGTGGAAAATGATATGCCAGAAATTGTCCAACTTTATTTCCATCTTTATCATAATGACATGCTTTAAAACATCTTTCACATAATAAACAAGGATCATCTGGAATAATTGGAGAATCACGCACTAACCATTTTGCATAAAATACATTGCATAAAAAACAATGGAAAAAACGGCCATGATATTTGATTTTACACAATGGATACAAACTAAAGAAAAAACAGGTTAATGAATATAAAGCTGATAGCTGGATGAAGGATGGCAGAAATTACAATGTCATGTTCTTTATGATGACCTGAGAATCAGACTTTACAGGAAAACAAAATTATTTTATGGAAAATTTTTCAAACTTAAGGGTCTTCCTCAGGAAAAAACTTTTTTATCTTACATCCGACAAAATCGGGCTCTTAGCAAAAACGTAAAGGTTTTTTTTGTTGGAAGGTGCAGAAAGCTGCGAGTGACCTCAAATGAAAGTAGACACCTAAATCTAAAATTTGATTTGCGGCGATTTATGAATTTCGCTTCCATTCATTCTCTACACGTATTTTAAATCAGACCTCTGAAAATAATCCTAATTCGGCGGAGTATTTGCCACTTATCTCTGCACAGAAAACAAAAATCAAAAATCATCGCGGATCAAACTTTAGATAAATGTCTTAGCTTCAAAATAAAAAAAGAATGAAGGTTTTACGACGAATCGTCTAGGAGAATATACAACTCTGCTGCGCGAAAACCATATTCTAAGCAATGACGTCATCACTTCAGTAATTATAGTTCAATGCCTTTAGCAAAACTAGTATAACTCTGGAAGGTAAAGTCGTACAAATCTGCTGGACATCTTATTCTGATCAGAACACTCCCCTCAACATAGCTCTATGTCTGTTAAAACGGGCAACCTTAAAAATTTGAATTAAAATGTGAAGAAAAAGGTGATTTTTAGGGCTTTCAGAAATCTTTTTCAAAACGTCCCAAAACATTGAATTTTTGGCAAAATTCTGAAAGATGATGATTCATATATTTTGATAAGACTGGATATAAACTCAGAGAAATCGAAGAAAATCTTTCCATTATATAAGTGATGATTCACAATGATGCTGCACTACCAGAAGAATAAGAAAAAATATGAGATCACTTTCCTATTTTTCAGGACATTTTTGAGCTCGCTCGAGAAAGTTCTGTCATAGTCTGTACTCTCTGATGATGCGTTTTACTTTGAGGATCGTCGTTTACCTCGAATCTAAACACTGATCATTCTGCAATAGTTTTAACTCATTAAATACCACCACATGTTCACAATTCATTTGATGTATATAAATATAAGGCTTTCCTAAACATAAACTGTTTATATTATTAAATGTCACATTTTCCATCACTTCTCCAACAGTATATTGTTGTTCTTTTTTTTCTTTATCACTGTTATTTTCAATAAATTGCATAATTTTATCACTTAATCGGACATTTGTTCGTCGTGTATCATCATAAATAACACCATCAATGATAAAACACCCAGCCGGATATAAATCACCGACACGCTGACCAGTTGTTTTTAAATCTGATGGATTTTGAGAATATTCGCCAATAATTTGTTCATCACTAACACATTCGATTGAATCTCTTAATGTTGCCAATGTTTGTGTGGTTAAACATATTAATTCGTTCATTAATGCAATTCGATATCTTTCACGTGATTCAGGTGGAAAATATATTTGAGCATTAATGATTAATGTCGGCTCTGTTATTTCTGAATCGAGTGATTTTGCTTTAGCTAAATTACATTCTCTTAAATTTTTTAAAAATGCTGTATCATGCGATGCGTGTGGACGTGATTGATTAAATTCAGACATAATATATTCAATACAAGCTGGATAGGATTTAAGATCTGGAAGTGGTTGTTGATGTTCTTTACGTGACGATTTTTTTTGCGTTGTCGCTGTTGTGGTCGTTGGTGGTGGTTGATCCATTTCATCAAAATCAATATCATCCGATGAATGCGTACGAACAGATGAAACTGTTGTTAAATCATCATCTAAACAAGATTGCTGACTTTGTCTCCGTCGTGTTGATGTTGTGTTTGTAGTGACATTGAGAGGAAATGTTGTTTCTAAATGTCTGTAATCTGTAAGTGATTGTGATATTTCTAATATATCCGTAAGAGAATTTTGAAATATGGGTTGAACAACACTTTGTAAATTGTTACATAATAAGGATAAACGTTGTTTTAATGTACTTGTTTCATTTAAAAAATCCTGTAAATTTATTGGTGGTGAGATGAATTCATTCATACGATTATCGTTTGTATCCATACTTTATAAAATCTAAAATATTTTCGAAAACAATAGGCCAGAAAGGAAGTATCTGTAATAATAATAATAATCATTTCTACAGCGTCTGAACACAACAGGAAGTTTTCAGACAAATAAAACAATTTAGTCATTTGTGGAATAATGATACAATGTATTTTTTGATATTTTTACTCATGAAGATAAACAGCCTTTATTTTGAATTAGAGATTTATTTTTTAGTTTTCTACATCCATCAGTACCGTCAACGAAGAACAAAATCTTATCATTTCTCTCTTGTAATATAATAAGTTATTGGTCAACTGACTAATGCATGTTATCCGACAGAAGAGGTCCCTGGAAGAAATTCCAACGAGGATTATTGCACATTGATCAATGTTTATACTTTATACACTTCGAATGTATGTGACATATTAACATATAAAATATTTACACGAACGTATTTGTTTTACAATATATAATTTTACTTTTCAAATAAAGACAAAAAAAACAAAAATGAACAAATTACGTAATACCCCTCCCCTTGTGAGAAAGAGAAATGGGAAAGAAAAGTGAATAGTACAGGATACAAAAAACAGCACTTCTACAAGTCAGCTTCTCTCTTTATATCGATAATCAAGAAAAATAATCGCTACCTTTCTCATTTTTATTTTCGTTTGTAACTGCAAAGGGGGAAAAACTTCAGAGCTAACATAAAAAAGAAGAGAAGAGAAGCATGAGAATAACAAAAAATAGATTCAAAAAAACTATAGACAAAATAAAAGAAATGAAACAGATAAACTACAAAAAAAAAAGTATGTGCAAGCAAAGCAATTATGTGTGTTGTTTTTTCTACAGATCGGTGTATTGACAGCAGAAAACAAAACAAATCCCGAGAATAGCATAAGGAAAAAACCGGTTTGTTAGTAGGGATATGTCCAAGTTTGATGTTTATACACCAATATTTTTCTCTTTATCCTAACTATTCTAAATAATTTGCAGTTTCAAGTAGAAATAGGGAACTCAACTACTAATATTTTCACATTCTCGATTTTCTTACAGTTTTCGCTAAACGATAGAGTTTTATGTATCTGACATCAAACAACAACGAAAACATATGCTTAGTTATGCACACGAGTATTCATTGACTATTCTGATGAGTATCTTCGAGAGTTTTTCCCTATCAAACTATCTAATGGTATAAATCTACTCAAACAGAGTAAAGAATCAAAATAAGTCGAATATTCCTGCATGTATACAAAAATATGAACATGTTTCTAAAGCATATTTTCAAGACACACATATAAACACTTTTGAGTATCAATTAAAACGTTATGGTGGTTAAAAAAAGTACATCATGTGTCACTAAAACGACAAAAACAACATAGAAAAAAAGAGGTTTGATTTCTTTAAATAGGACAAGAATAAAAAGAACAAATTGACAATAAGCAGACAATGACACGATCTGTTACACAGTTTTGTCATCATCACGATTAATCATTAATGTCGTACGATCTAGAGTGAGAGGCTGTTGATAACGCAGAAGTCTAAAAAAAAACAATATTGTTTGTTCAAAATGAGACAATGAAAAACAAGTTATACTATAGTGAGATCAATGGTTTACAATATGGACGGATCTAAATCTTCCAACGCTTGTATCTGCCTTATGTCTCCCATGTACGCTTTTCTGCTAAGTTTACTTTCCGGACATTTCGTAAAAATGATAATAAACTACGAACCTTTGTGTTTGTATATTACGTTTGATTTCCAGCACTCTAAAATTAGATTTTAGCGCTTTAAGCTCGGTGAAAGCAGTTGAAATTTTTGCACTGTATGCATAGTATTCGTCGAACACTTTAAAACACTAAAATAAAATCATCACTTAAGAAGAATAATCACAAAAAGATAAAATTCATAGAACTTGCAAGCAAAAAGACAATATCAGGAAAATACAGTTTTAAAACAAGGATGTACTTTAGCTCACGAAACACACAGTTTGCTCAAAATAGAGTAACAATAAACGAAAACCACAATGCTAGCACAGATTAACATACCAATAGCTACAACATCAAGCAAAAATAGTGATTTGAATAATACAATGAATACTTTTTCAAAAAATTACCTGTTTTTCAAGCTGTGTTGATGGCCAATCAACAAGATGATGGATTAAATCTGCACGATAATACTTCTGAATTTCATGATCTCGTTCAGCTTTTGTTACTGGAGCAAATTCATATTCCATACTAGAAAACAAAATAACAAGTGAAATAGGAATTTGCGAACAGAATAAAAATACATACTTTTGCACAGATTCAGTTGTTGATGCTGGTGTGGAACTTTTTGTCTCATGACCTAAATAGCAAAATAAAAAATTAAAAAGATAATCAATAACTAGAATAAATGATCATTTACCATTTTGTTGTACATGCAGCGGTTGTTGTTGTCTTTCATTGTTTTCTGACGCAAGATGATTGGAGAATGAAATAGCTAAAGAATGATCACACAGATTTGATTTTATATAGTTCTAATGAAAAATCTACTTGTAGCTCGGAAATGAGAGAACAACCGAAAGAGAAAGACGTGTTGTTCTTACCTGGTTCAGACATCGATAAATGTACATTATTCATTTCATCTCCTCTCTCGACTAGTAGGGTGGCTGATTCTTTACTACTAGTTGATGAAAACGACATTCGTGAACTGTCGTCAGCTGGACTAGTTAACCGTATTGTTGTTTCACTTGAAGTTGTTGTTAACGAAGATTGTAAAAAATCTTGATTAACACTTTTTACTGTTTGTTCGCCGTTTGTTAAATGATGGCACGGGGAAGATAGTTTAATTGACGGATAAGATGATGACAAAGAATCTTTAGTGTTGGATGAATATGACGATGTCGAGCTAGGTGTCATCTCTTCCGTTTTACTTCGACTGTAAGTTCGAAGTGACGGTGATGTTTTTGGATTATTGACGCTTTCTAGAAAAAAGATAGGGTTTTAATCGATCGAACCACGGTAAAAATGAGTTGACGTATACCTCTTTTGAGACGATCAACGTTTGATGTTGAATTATTTTGTCGAGCGGATGATGATACTGTCGAGTTAGTAGTTGAACTAAATAAATTAAACGAACGAAGATGATTTTTGAATGAGATTAAACACAAATGGAAAAAGCGTTGTTTTGCTCTCCAATATATGTAAACAAACAAATCATCCCTTGAGTAAGTCATTGGTTAACACAATTTAAAAAACACATTTTCTCTCCTTTTTTACTATGTAATATATATCTTCTGCTGGAAAAAGTTTAAACGATTCATCAAAAGTCCAGAAATAGTCAAGCATTGATATCAATTCCTTAATTTTGTGTTATTTCAGAAAAATAAACTGGATAAAGCAAATGAAAACTAACTTGTCGACGATCCATCCTTTCGGTTTTTCCCATTGTGAAACTTCTGTTTTACAGTTGTAAAAATAGGTTTTACCACTTGAACTTCGAAATTCAGACCAATCGCCGCACACACGAATCGGTTTTTTAGCGTCTTTTGTGCCTTTTTTAGATGTCGACGATGCTGCAGTGGATGTTGAATTAGTAGCGTCTTTCTCGCCATTTTGATGCTTGTTTGTTGTATTTGACGAAGACGAAGAAGAAGAGGCGACAGCTCGATGACTAGTGGAATTGTTTGATGCTATAGTAGAAAACAAAACACAACAACTATTACTACTTTCCCGCAAAAAGTAAAAGTCTATGACAAACATTGAGTGCGAATGTATTTTTGATGGCTGGAAGATTCTTCTTGTGTGGTATCGTTCAGACTATGTAAACTCCACTCTCGTTTACCAGACTAAACGAATAAAAGAATAAAAATTAAGTTTTCATGTATTCAGGTATAAAATAATAGTTACTTACCGAATAATTTCCCTCTACTGATTTCTTCGTTTCGTACAGACTAAATGAATGGAAATAATTACTTTTAGAGAAGAATTATATGAAAAACTAGATGTACCCATCAATTGTTCTGTGTTTACTACAATACATTACGAGAGAAAGAAATCATCGGATCGACGATAAACACGACACTGGAAAAAAACGAGTCGTGCAGCTAAAAAGAAAAAACTGTATGATTTATAACGATTCCAGTTAAACCGATGAGACTCACCTCAGTCTAATAATTTTTAGTATAATATCACAAATTCAAAGTTGATCAACAATATACTTAACTATAACGACCAATCATTAAAATTACAAATAACCTTGCACACAATAAATCATCAAAGTTAAACAAATATCAGAATTCTAAAATAAAAAATTATAAGCGTAGTCCAATAGTCTAAGGTGAAACGTTTCTCCTTCCAATTCAACTTCGTTGTGATAAATAAGTCAGTCTCTTTATTAGGCTAGACATCGCTTTTATGTGAAAGATCCCCTATTGGATATCTTTTTTGTAATGCAAGAGACAAAAAGTGTAGGGTTAAAAAGACTCGGTATGACATCTTTCTTGTCTCCAAATTTAAATTACTAATTTTTTCTTTATTTGCTTTCGAAAGTCATGAGAAGTGTTGAAAAATAATGAGGTAAACAGAATTTCCAGTTTGACATATGGCACTTTTTATTTTGATGATGGCCTTGTGGGTGAGCTATACAGGGGAAAAAGGTGCACTCTAAACTCAAATTAGGCGAAAAGTATAGCGTAAATACAATGCTGTCGTGCTATATAGAAATTCACGGTGAGAGAACAGCAATGTATACATACTTTTGCACGGCATTGAGCATAACTATAAAAGCATATTTAGACCAATAAATGCACGTGTAAACAAATGGTACGAATTTTAACTGTTTGCGGCAACAAAAACACTATGGCTTCTCATTTATTTTTGAGTTTATACTGAAATGACAATTTGTTAAGGTCTTTTAGCAGTCACTCAGTTCAGAGGATACTTCATCAAAGAGATTAGTGCTAAGTGAATAACAAGAAGAATGGCGTCTGTAACAACCTCATATGACTCTTTGAAGAGAAAAAAATGTAAGAATGACGACCAAATATACAGAGATGTTCTCTTATATATTAGTTCAAATTGACAAATAATTTGATAGTGTTGACTGAAAATAATCACGTTCTCCTCCTAAAGGGGTGAAACAAAAGAGAACTAATTAAGATGTCTCATATGTAAGTTGATACCAATCTTAACAGAAAACTAAACTGGAAATAGGATTGCTGTTGTCTTTTAGTTCGTACAATAAACAGTGGCAGGATGCAGAAATTGCTTTGGCAGACATGCTGCAAATCGAAACTCCCGCTGAACCGCGTCCAGCTGAAACGGTTTGTAGTTAATTAAAAATCTCTGACATCTAGAATCTAGTATTTTATCTCATCCAGTAGCTTTATACTTTCAGGACAGAGCAGCCGCTTTTCAACAAGTAGCTACAATGTTTGTTAAATATGTACAAATATTTCGAAAATTAGAGCAATGTTACGATCAAATTGTCCACCCACAGAAACGACGTTTGCTTCGAGTCGTACTGGACGGTTGTATGGGAAGAATTTTAGAACTTAAACATGAAATGATTAGTATGGACGCATCGGAATACCATTATTTCGACGATATATTAGCTGACTTAAAATTAACACCAGTAAGAACCTCATCTAGAGTTTGTGAGTATCTATTCGTTTGTTTGCTTCTTGTTTCTTAGAATGATTTAGAAATTCCAATTCCAACATATTTCGTACTGGAAAAAGCGCAAGTTATTGAAAAACGAGAACGCTTGTTGGGTCAGATTTTAGCACGAATGTCGCTTGATCAAGATAAACCGGTAGTGTTATAGTGTAATTTATCTTAGGATTAAGGTTGAATAAAATTTTGCAATTTTAGGATCAAAATGCTCAAATGTCTATGGATGATGCCATAAGAATAATTCAATCACATGAACGAGCACGACAAGGACGGCTACGGGCAAAACAAATGAAAGAAATTCGTGTCAATGAACAACGGGCTCGTCAACGTGCAACAATAGGTGAACCACAAATGGACAAAAATCTAGCAGCAACAATAATACAAAAATATTGGAGACGTTATGTCGTTCGTCGTGATACAAAAAAATTTCGTGATGAAGAGTACATGTTTTTGGGAATGGTATGTATTAATGATAACACGAATTATTGTAGAAAGGAATCACTTATCTTTATTTCAGGCAATGCCAAATTTTCCCAAAGATCCATTGAAGAAACTTCTCGCCGATGTCAAGGGTCATGAAGAAGAACGACGAAAACGTCAAGAAAAACATGAAATTGCATATCAGCAAGCTTTGATAGCGACAAGAGAAAAAATTAGACAAACAGAAGGACCAGATATGAAAGAACGTTTGCAAGATCAAATTCGTCAGTGGTTTATTGAGTGCCGGTATAAAAGAACGAGGAGAAAATATTCTTTTGACAAAGTCAGCATGTTACTTGATCTTTAGAAACGTAACTCAAAAATTTCCCGATTTTCCTGATGAAGATGAAGGAGGATCGAATAAAATTTTTGAGAAGAAAGACGTCGAACAAGTTCAGGAAGAATTAGAAGCGGTATATTTTAGAAATCTTCAAATTTTCGTGGCACAGTTGTTATTTCTTGCTCATTCTAGAAACTGGAATCGAAAGGCAAAGGAAAAGGCGACAAAAAAGGAAAAGGTATAGTTCTTCTTTTGTCCTCATGGGTATTCTATAA